GCACGGCTGCCAGGAGGGGCTCCAGGTAGAGCAGCACACGCCGCGTCCATCAGTCTCCACTGCTCCTGGTAAGGCTGGTTGTGCTGATACCACTGTACAAAACCAATAAAGTGCAATGCAGTGGTATGAACACGATACGGACTACCTTGGATATGAATTCCACGGAACAATATAGACAGCTGGAGCTCGTCCTTGAAATCTACAGGTAGAGTATATGTCGCGGAGTAAGTTCCATCCGTTCTGTCGACCAGCTTTACTTCCACTTTCTCGCCTTTCTCTCCCTGGAGCTCTACCTCAAACAGATCGCCACCAACAGCGCGCTCAGTTCCTTGGCAGTCGCGTGCGGTGATGATAAAGGATGCATCCTGGCCAGGAGATGCGGTCTCTATTCCTGCGCCAAAGGCACTGGTGGTGTTGGCGCATGTATAATCGTCAGTTACATTCCCCGCCTCGGAAAGCACGTCTAACAAGCGTTTACTATCTACGGAGAACTCCAGTGCAGAATTTCCTTGCGGATCCAGGACGGGAGGCCTGCTCTCCATGGCCATCAGGGTCGTGGCGATGTCGGATTTGGCAACGAGCAGCTGTACGTCACCCGCCGATTGGATGGCGGTTACTGCACGGTCAACGGCACTCAACAGGCAGGCTTCAAAGGTTCGAAGAAGGTCGCATTGTTCCGTCAGGATGAACGACTTGGCCTTGTGAATCTGACTCAGTTTCGTAACAAGAGCTTGTTCTCGGGCGTCGAGAGAGGCACGAAGCTAGAAAAATTAAAAGAAAATGATGAACAAGAAGCAAATTTTAAATGACCATATCACGTCCGAGATATACACACTTAATATGCCTATAAAAGATAGAACAAAAAAGGCACTTACTTCTTCAAAAAAGGCATGAATCTTGTCTTCTTCATGCTTCTTCTTTCGGTTCAGGTCATTGACGACCGTCATAACACGCTCTTCAGCCTCTTTCAACTGTGCAGCAGTTCCTTTAGCTTTGGAGGTTAGAGCGTCCAACTCTTGTCTGCTCTGGGCGGAAGCTTCGGCGAGGGAACAACACTTGTGGCCGTTATGCTCCAACGCTTGGCAATCCCTGCAGATTACATGGCCACAATCTTTGTCGAAGTAGCGGAAGGGCTCATTGTGCTCTGAACAGAAGACAGGGATGGCAGCCAGGTGTTGGCTGGTTTTAACCTCTGCAAGGGAAAGAACACGGTGGTCGCGGCTCAGCTTGTGACGGATGTGGAACTGCGCTGCTACGTCACACATGTTCTCCTTGCACTCCAAACAGCATGATGTGGCCGGGTGCTCCTCATCACCACAAGTATCACAAAGAACAGGGGTGGTGTCTGGCTGTTTATGCGAGCTGGCGAGCAGCACGTCCAGAAGGGCAAAGTTTTTGGGTAGTCCACCTAGTCCATCGGTCACGTGGACATCTTTTCTGTCCTGAGGACAAGTAATGCACCCATCCTTCAAGAGCTGCTCCAGGCAGTGGGTGCAGAATGTGTGACCGCAGTTACTTAGTAGTCGCGGACACCGCTTGTTGTCATCATATCGTTCATAACAGAGAGAGCATTCAAGCACTTCTTCTGAAGACAAGGTCTGCGCAAACAAAACAAAATGCAGAATGAAGAATTTTAATGCTTGTGAACCAACCAATTTAAAGGAGAACAACAGTTTGTTTATAGTTATCTAGTTTCCGCCTCGAACTCAGAATTGCACGTATGCGGTCAAGGAGGGCAACTGGCATAGCATAATAGGATAATTTTATTGTAATGATTGATAATACGTACTAAAGATCTCTTGTTATTGTCGTTGCTTGTAAAAAAAATTAAATGCTCATCAAATAGAGGACCTAAGAAACAGATTGTGCAAATGTGTCGTTTTACAACAGACAATTACATCAAAAACTAATCAGTCACTAAGGAAGCGAGCAAGGATTCAAAACTGCAAAAATACACAGTTAACCTCCCAGACATTCATGCCTGTTACCCCTGCTTTTTAGGGATTAATTACAGTGTACAGGGGCGGATCCAGGATTTTTTCAAAGAGGAGGTTTTAATTTTGAGAATTCAAGGCAAAGGTCCCAAGGGCAAAGGAATGGGGGAGGATAGGGAGGGTTAGGGTAAGGGTTATGCTTGAATATGTAGATTTTCTTCATTTTGATTTCAGAGCAATTTGAGGCACTATTAGTCATGGTAATAGGACAGAGTGGAGTATAATTCAGGGAGTAATTGGCGAGTTATTTCAAATACGCGCTCGATTTTAAATTACGAACCCGATTACCCTGAATTGTATGAAAAAAGTCCTATTACCGATTAATTGTGTCAATAACAAAATTCGATAATCTCAGTCATGGAATATTCATTAACGTAAATAAACGTCACTGGGCCAGTTAGTTTCATCAATGTTTCTTTTTCAGTTGAAGCTGGACAGCTTACCTGCTTACCTAGTCACTATTTTTTCATTTTTTGATTCAATGCCATCATATGCTATGTGGTCAAATTTCATTGGCTAGTGGCATTTGCTACTAGTTGATTTTTATTGGTTCTTTAACTGTCTGATTACAAGCTCCTGGTAATCGGACAGGTCAAATCGGACAGTTTTGGAGTTGCAAAACCAAAATTAAGCTATAAATATGGGCGGTTAAGAACCAATCAGATTCAAGCATCTTGTTATTGACACAAATCCCCTTTCTGTTTTCCACCAATCACTCATGGTATTGGTTCCTATCCTAACTCTATTCCATCCCTCAGAGAAATATGACCTCATAAGACCAATTGCACAATCTTCAAAACCATATGCCTTTAGTTTTGCCAATAATAAGGGTGGATGAAGCGAGTCAAAAGATTTGGATAGATCTGTTGATAAGATCCCTGCGACATTGCTAGTAACTATCCAATGCTTCTTTCCAATCCTCCATAAGCTTGAACAAAGTTGTCTCGCAACTGTTCTGTTTTCGGTAAGCTGTTAGACAATTGCTCAAATAAGGCTCCATGAATTGTGTTATTTGGTTGCTAAGCAACTGTTAAATAGGATGATACACTAGAATAACAAATAGTCCAATGTCTCCCAACAGCTATGTCAGCAACTCTATAGACAGCCATTGAATTTAGATTTAAGCAATTTTACTTCCTTGCCTCATGAAGGTTAATCCAGATTCCCGAATCAGGGAAAGTTTTGCTTATGGAATCTAGAAAGCTGTGGGCTTTTGAATCCAGAATACAGCTCAAAGAATCCGAAATCCTACTAATGGTTGGAATCTGGAATTCAGTTTCCAGCAAAAAGGAACGTGGGATCGAGTACCTGGAATCGGGAATCCGCAGAATGAAATCCAGAATCCAAGACTGTCTTGGATTACCTTGCATGAGGTAATTAACTTCCTATGACAATTGGCACCTCTATCATTTCCCTCTCACTGGTAGTGTTTGAAACCTTGGCTTGTTCAGACTGTACATAACCCTAAAGAATGTCATCTTTAGACCGCAGAGGAGGAGTATCCCCCCTTTAACGGACTATATGAGGATACCATGTGGCACAAAATTTTTGCGGGTTCTCATTTTTGCATTTTCGCTGTTTTTCCAGCAAAAAATCCGCGAAAATAAGTTCCCGCAAATAAAAGTAACCAAAAACATTTTTCCCGCAAAATTTACTCCAGAGTAAATATTCTCTAACTTAAATTCGCTACACAAAAATACAGTACTAAGAAATCGTGTCTGTTCAATCACAACTTGTCTCTTTCTTTCAGAAACAACAAAATACTGGTTTCGTGTTTGAAAATATGTATTTCCATTGCATGTACTCAATAAAAACGAAAATAATGTAAATGCTGGGAACTGGATACTTCCTGAAAATCGCAAAAATTAATTCCCAGCAAGAAAAACCAACCTAGCTCTGTCCTAATCGCAAAAATTAGTTCCCGCAAAACACAAAAAATCATCAATCCGCAAAAATAAACTCCCACGAAAATTTCGTGCCACACGGTACTTCGCCCAAAAGGGGTTATTTCACTTTATCAGGTGAGAGGTAAAACGTAGGGCTTGATCTAACAAGTAAGGTATAGATTCAAAGTGAAAAACTGCCATATATTAGCAAAATGGGTCAAAGCCCATAATCTAAAATTTACTGCTGCCCTTAGAGGGTGTTATGCAGATATTGAAAACGGAACATTACAAAATACCACTTGCCCCACAAAACCAAATACTCCCAAACTTAACACATGACTCACATCCAAACTACAAAAAACATCCTCCCAGCTTTAATGGAGAAGAAGGGGAGATGAAATGGAAATGCTGGTGGCCAGGGAGGATCCCATCAGCATTGGAGTGCAACTGTTTTACCCCCTCCCCTCTTCCACCCAGTGTTCAATCAAAGTTGCAACCAACTTTTCAGACATTGCACACCTTGTTCCTTGAAAAGAGCAACACAATAGAAGTCTAATAGACCTTGTCACAGTTTTCGATGCCATCTTGACAAGTAGGCAAATGAGTGAGAAATTACAGTGATTGTATGAGAATCTAATGTCGAATAAATTCCGCAGAAAGGCTGTTCTGAAAAAAATGTGACTTGTCAACTAAAGCTTCACTCCTAAGGATTCTCCTGAAAAAAAAATTGAGGGCGTTATATGCACTAGAAGAGCTACAATAGAACTACTTTTTAAAATTTTCTATACATTTGTCTGTAAGAAAGTCCCGGGAAAATTACAGACAAATATATGGAAAATCTAAAGAAAGCCTCTGGAGAAATTTAAGCACAGGCACGCCCCCAAAATTTTTTAGGACAATCCTTTGCTTTGTACCTTTAGTTTACAATTGATATTTTTTTCAGAACAGCCGTTTTACGGAAATTACAGTAAAAACCCGCGTATAAGAACCTAACATTTAAGAACCTGTTAGGCTAAAATTTCATTTTTAAGCACCCTTCACATAAGAACCATTTTAGGCTAAAATCCTAAAACAGGTTCTTATTTTCAAAAAAAAAAAATATATATATATATATATATAGCATGGTTACATAAAACTTTACCATAGGTTTGATTGTAACAGAATCAGATTAAAATAGTATATATAGTATTTTGCTTAACGAAGCCTCCAAGAATACTGTTTTTGGACATTAAACACCAGATCATTTAAAAATTCAGCTTTATTTCTTGAACAAAAGTTAAGAACCTAATTAAGAACCTAGTTAGCCTAATTTTACACTAAATACCATTTATATAAGAACCTGTTTAGGCTAACTTGGAAAAACCTAGGTTCTTATACGCGGATTTTTACTGTATTCGACATGAGATTCTCATACAAACACTGTAATTTCTCACACGTTTGCCTATACTCGTCAAGATGGCCTCGAAAACCGTGACAAGGTCTATGGTTGAAACAGCGTAATGGCCGGATCGGAGTTGTGTTAAAGCTTTGTTTCCAACGCAAGCAGTGTAAAATTATAAGCTTAAGTTTATCTTACAACGTACATGTAAATTACGTTGTTAAAGCTGAAATACTGTACTTTGGAACAAATTATAGGGCAGAAAATTATGACAATGAAAAGACAAGAACCTCTGGCTTTTGAAATCATTATTAGCAAAAAAAATTAACAGCTGAAATATCTTCCTGTAAATTTCAGAGAACAATAAAAGTATAGCTTATATAATTAATTGAGTCTATTTTGTTTAAAATACCTGAACTTTGTCGACTTGTTTTGCTAGAGACATTCGGGGAAATATTTGTTCTTTACTTCAATAAGTGATCTCCTGAAGTGATCTGTTCTCTGTTCTTCTTCTTTTTCGAAAGAATCTTCAATAAGATACTCCCGCCTAGCTGTAAAGAGGTAAGATCGACTTGGAACAGAAGAAACGAACTTACACTTTCACTCCTCACAGGCTTCCACTTTCCGAGAAAACGACACGTCTGCTTACTAAGCGGGACACGAAGAGTAATTTTTTGTTACAGCGGGGGTACCCACGGGAACCCCAGCGCCCTTTCGAGCAAGCATAATGTCCATCAGGCCTTGAAGGACAGAAATTTCACTCGAATAGTAAGGACCTAATAAGATCCATAAAAAGTCGAACACTACTTTGCAAATTGCAAATTTTTCACGACTCCATTGTCTCGCAATTCCCAGAAGAGAATAACGCACAAAGAAAACCAATCAAAGTATGTAAAAATGACCAGAAAGCCTCGGATTCATGTTAGAATTTTAATATATCGAACTTGGGCTATTGGGTAAGGTAAGGAAAACTGAGGGTACCCTTGTAGGAGTTTGGCATAGTTTCACTGCTGGGGGCTCAGCACACGGTACCCACACAATTTGTTGTAATTTCATTGCACACATGTGCTGAATTTACTGTTTGCTTCATCGGTATCGAAATATCGCCGAAATATGTATGGATTAATGCTAAATAGACGTTATCTAGCCCACACAGTTAAGTGTCCTTCTTTCCCTCAGAAATGGTATTTTGATCGATTTTGAAGGATTTTTAGCTAACCGTTTACTGTCTCTCCTGATAGAAAGACTCTACCTTTCTTTAACTGTACGTTCCAATTCAGAACGTATACTTCTAGTTGCGAACACTTCGCCCAACTTTATTCCAGTTTTTTACCAGGGTAAAAAAACAAAATTCTACTCTGAAAGACATAAAACGCTAATTGCCCCCTTTGAGTTCGTGAAAGGGATACTGTGGCCGGTTATGAATTTAATAACAAATATGATGACCTATGATGAACTCATCGATTTTGTTGATGAAGATCAGTTGAGTAAAAAGCCTGTGTTTTTTCTTTTCATGCCCTACGCAGCATTTATAGAGAGACGACTACAGCGAGAATAATAGGGTGAACTAATATTTCTCAAGCAATGTACAACATCGTTTTAATCCCTATACAGTATAAAAAATAAATATGTAGTGTTCTTTTTAAAAATTCTTCTTTAAGCACTACAAACAAACTAGCACAACATTCACAGCAGATCGCTCTCTCCACATTAAATCTATTTACAAAGGCTTCTTTTAATAGCGCACTCCATTATTTATTTTTTCTTTGTTGATGCGCGAGTTGAAGGCCGTGATGATTGCTGGGATGGAGTGCGTGGCGGCTGGGGAGAATGAGGCTGCGCAGTAGACGCCTGAGAGGGTGCTCGCTTTGACATGCTGGTGCTGACCGGTCTTTCTGCGGGCGTTTGAGATTCTCCAGCACTGGCGCGAGACGCTGAACGCTCAAGGGCTCGGATTTTTTCTAGAGCTTGCTTTAGCTCTGTTTCGGCTTGAATGGCTCTCTCCTCTGCAGTCTGTGCTCGTTCTTCTGTCTCTCTGAAATTGAAAAAGAAAACCAGTTACTAGCCTGTAAACAGGCGTTTTATGAGCCAAGCGAGGCGGAACGAGGCATTTCGCGCGAATCGCAAGGCTAGGGGAGGAGAAAAAATCAAAGCGCCTGTTACCAGTCCGTTGTTCTTGCTCTTCCCACGTTCACTACATGAATGTCGCGTTCCAATTGGTTAATTGATGGCGCGTTGTTCTCCGAAATTCTAGCATGTTTGTCTGGAACAAAATTGCCGTCACGCAGTCATATTCTTTTGAAGATGCTGTTTACGACGCTCTTCGTTTATTTCCAAAATGTTCCAGGAAAAAAATAAAGAAATGTTTAAATTGCTAAAGAGGAAGGATGTTATTGGATTGCTTCTAACTGGGTTTGGAAAAAACCTTATTTACCAACATTTTGAAATAAAGACTTGACAGGCCAAACACGACTCATAAGTTCGTGATAATGTAAAACGTGACCTTAGAGTTTGTTTGAACAACAGGTTTTTCCCTCTTTTCTTTCTCGCCGCTGTGTTTAGACATTCTAAACTTCGACTGAGCAAATCTTATTTCTGCTGCATTGAGTCTTACATTTAGAGGTGTTTCATGCACTAATAGGCTTATCATGTCCTGTGGTTTATGCTACTGAGGGTGTTTCTGGTCGCCAGAAAGGTGACAATTTTCGCGCGAATAATGGATCGTATTTTGATTGGTCCTTTTGACATCACCGCCGTCAATCAATTTTTGTTGGCCTAGGTGGGCGGAAGAGCCAGAATAATGGACTGGTAACAGGCGCTTTATCTTCTCTTCTTACCTCATCTCGCACTTCGCGCAAAATGCCGCGTTCGCTTCGCTTGGCTCATAAGCTCCTGTTAGGAAAAGGAAAGTTTTACTTAAAATTAGTTTAATTATTAAACCTCAACCAGTGGCTCATGGATTTTCCGCCTGTACTTTAATTTAATAAGTAAAGAAAAAAAGGTACTTACAGCAGTTGGGCCTGAAGTCTTTCCACCGCAGCTAAAGCTTCCAGGGCTTTCTTAGTGTCAGGGGACGGTGAGCGCGCTACAAGCAACAAGAACAAAACAAAAACATAAGAGGAAACCCGTTTACTTCCGATCGACAGTGTAGAGATAAGTGGGTTTACTGAAGCAGAAAAAAAGGCAAACGCGCCTCGCCTTAAACGATGGCAAACTCCACAGACTTACCAGGTTGCTGGTTTTCGCCCTCGGGCACAGTGAGATGTTCCAGTTCCTACAAAACAGAGAAGTGTTTCTTTTGATATTATCTAGCCATCTGATTCTGTTGTAATATTAATCAGAGGGGTGACTAACAAATTAAAGCGGAGCTGCTATTTGGTTCTGCCGTCAACTCCCTTTATGATGGCCACCGCTGGGAGCAGTCCTAAGTGTTCGTAATAGAAAGATGTCTGCGTTATAGAGAGTCTCGAGAAAAATGGCTGAAGGAAGGCAGAAACTAACCAAAGGTTAATATTTCGTTAAATAATTAATTGAGCGGCCCAGTGGTTTCCCTAGGATTTCCTCGCCATGCATTAATTTTTTTTCGTTAGGTACTTTATGTTTTTTATTGTGGCAAAACAATAAACTTGAAACTTGAAGGTACCCGTTTGTTGAGATTCAGAGTTCACTTTATTTGTTAGAATTACAACTACACGCAATAAAAAAAGAAAACGGAAATGCTTTAACAACAGTATATACAGTCGAACCTCCACTAACGGCTACCTCTCTACAACGGCCTTTTTTTTGCCGGACAGTCCATACATTCACTCTAGTTTAAACCTCTCTACAATGGCCACTTTCTACTGCCCCCAAAGTGGCCTTAGTGGAGAGTTTCAACTGTATCCTGAACTCATCAAGTGAAATATCTAATAAAGAAATCATTTCAAAATTACGGTCTTTTTTTTCTTCACAACCTGAAGTGTTCACCATACCTTCATCTACAGGTGAGGGGAGATGGTCCCTAATATCATAGCTTCAACTTACTTGGTCTGCAGGTAGCTCCTCCAGGGACTTGGTCCTTATATTATCGTCATGCCCCAGTACATGCATCCGGGACTCATCCTGGTCCTGGTCTCCAGCCTCAACTTCGCGCCTTTCTTCAGGCCTTTCTCCAGTCTCCTCTTTTGCTTCTTGGTGACTGGTTTCAATAGTGGGCGCGGTCACATGGGATTCCTCGGCAGACTTTTTAGGGGCATCTATTCTCCCAGAGTCTTCTGCCAACACAGTTTTGACTTCCGGTTTTTCAGGTTCCTGATGTTCAGCGGCTGTAGCTTGTTGATCTGTTTGCTGAGCATTTTCCGGTTGTTTGATGTCTTCATCTTGTGACTGTTTGGAAAATAAGGTTCAGTTTACTCCATCACAAAAGCTACTTAGAAAGGTAGCGTCATTCTGCTTACCGCTTCCCATTAACCTTATATCCCAAAAGGGGAGTCTGTTAGCGGCAAATAGAATGACGACTAAACTAAATGCAGCCCTTAGATAATACCATATTTCATTAAGGTTAAAGAAGGTTGAAGATTTGTCTTAAGTGGGAAATACACTTTGCTTACCCAGCTAATTTGCTGACACTCAAGTAATTAGAAACAAATAATCCAAATAGAACATAACAGGATCCAAAACCCCAACTGGAAGAAGGCACTGGTAGTTGGCTGTTTACACCTGTGGTAGAGGATTTGAACTCTGGACTACCGTGAACAAATCCCGGCATCAAACGGTCAAAGTCCGAAGCGCTGTCTCACTACTCATCCACGCTGTCTCCTTTTTATAGAGGTAGCCTTAATAAAGTATTATGAATGGGGGTTACCGTAAGCACTGAAATATTTCACTAGATTTTACTGACCCAAGAGTACTGGATTGAGAAATTAGCCTCTCTATTTCTTATGCGCTGCAAAAATCAGTCTCCATAACAAAAGTAAATCGTCTGCTCCGATAGTTTCGTTCGCACCAAACTCCAAGATTGAAGATTCGCAATCGAACGAGAGTGATTTCATCGATTTTCAGCGCAAAATGAAAAGAAGAAAAAAAAGGTTCTGTTTACAATATACGCAGACAAGACTGATACAACAAAATGAAAATTACCTCTCCACCAGTAGCTTTAGAGTCAGTGGAGACCGCTCTGTCGGGTCCCTTTTCCTTCTTAACAGCTGACAGATCCTGGAAAACAAAGTCATCGCCCATAACGTCTTGAATAAGGAGGCCAGCTGTTCGTATCCACCCCTCGCATTCTACAGACAGGCGCTTAAGATCTTTGAAATCCATATCCGCGTGTTCATCACCCTGATCTCGCCGTTCCTAAAAACGAAGGATGAAATGAGTGCACAAGTGTATGATACCGTTAACCTCTGCTGCAAATCTCTGCATTAACACCGCATTTAGGGTGATAACTGGGAGGGAAAATAACAGCACTTCAAGTTTAATGGCGTAACATATCACCACGATCAAGGAACGCTTTCGATTTAACAAATCTTTCTTTTTTTCTCTCTCACGTTTCGTTCGGTTTGGTTACCAGAAGTTCCTCAAATAGTGTATCTCCAGTAGGAGATATATGAACGACTTTCACGAACCACACAGATGATCAACAATTTCTTTATCGTTGATCATCTGTGTGGTCATTTATGGTTTTAGAGCCAAGATCATCGCTAAATATGAAATAGAAGAAAAAATCAGCAACAAAGAATTCTTTAAAAGAAAGTGGATACTGACGCCTTACTTAAGTTAACTTTATTAACTCCGTATTATTTCATTGTCCTGTTGTACTTCTTCATAATTTCTTTTAGCCCTGTAATAATTTAACAATTAATTTGGCTTTACTCTGTTAATGTCTATTGTTAAAGTGTTCTTTTTGTAGTATAGTAAATGTAATTATAATTAATGTGACTATCAATAAATATATTTAAAAAATCAACAACAACAACAAAAAAACAATTTCTTTATCGGTTTGAGGAAAGACCAGAGTCGAAAAGTCATTATTTGAAAATCTTTATTTCATATACAGTTGATAGCCTAATGTTAGATTTCATGTGACCTCGAGGTAGCCAATGAGATTGCGCGCTTTTTGAGATGTTGCTCGCTCGAACACTTAAGCAGGGAAGTGGTGTCATTGTCAAATATCATGTGATCGCCAATAGCCAATTAGAACTCGCTTTACGGAAAAAATTGAGATGTTTCCCGCTTGAGGACTTAAGTCGGGAAATTGTTTCATTGTTCGATGTCATGTGATCTCAATAGCCTATGAGAGGGTGAACTGTTCTGGATGGAATTTCTGCTGTGTAACAATGTATTATGCATGTAACCCACCTGCATTAAGTCAATCACCAGATCAGAACAGCATTTTGTCAAAAGGACCGAAAACGCTCTGAGCTGTTCAAACAGCCTCTGCGCTCTGTTACAGATCTCTTCAGGTATGGCCTGAAGCAGGATCTCCCCTCCCCCCAGCGACGCGTCCACTTCTTGGTCGCCAGTCTGTTTGTCTATTTCTTCCAATTCCTTGTCCTCCATATCTGGGGTTAGACGAAGAAGAACGGTGATCATCCACCGGATCATGGCGCTATGTACCTGTGTGACCTGAAATTACAGAGTATAATAAGCTGAGGAATACATACGGTTACAGTGGAACCTCGATGTAACAAATGGCTTTAAGTATCCTGTGAGCAGAGGCTACATTTTCGCTGTGTGAGCTGGTGTGCGAAAAGTAGCCTCTGCCGACAACCGTTCAAATACGTCCAGAAATCTGGACGAATGAATTTAAAAAACGGGTTTTTTCCTGTTCTGGACCGGTTTAGAGCATTGCCTGAGTCTTTCGTAGCAGATCAGAGTTGTCGCAATTTTTTTATTCCCACGAAACTCGCGCCGTTTGACGACAGACCTGACGATTAATTTTGCTTGTGAATCAGGCGACGAAATTTTGCGCATGCACGATAGAAAATTGAACGGTTGTCGGCAGAGGCTACTTTGCGCACGCCAGCTCACACAGCAAAAATGTAGCCTCCGCTCGCAGGGTTGGCTATAAGGGAATGGCAAAATATTTTCGCCATAACGAAGATTCGTTACATGGGAGTTGTACACAAACAATTTTGAGAGAAAGCCTTCATTAAGTAAGTTTTCTCTTCTTCTATTTCATTTTTGTATAATTTCAATTTGCTAACTTTGTTATTCCCGAGAGTGATCATATCTCAAGAAAAACTATTGACAATTTTAATTTTGCAAAAGTCTAAAAATGTAACGGTATCGTGCAAAACGTGCTGTCCTGGAGTTTCCAATTTAAGTATAGATTCAAAAGTTCCTAACTACATTTAATTTCTCCTTTATCAGTCTGGCAATAAAAAGGTCAAATATCGGAAACGCATTACTTACTCTTTCCACAATTTTCGCGTCTTCGTTATCAATGCTGTTCGTCGTAGCAGACAGCCATTTGACTGTGTTTTTAAACACGTCTTCCACGTCTACTGGGTTTTCTACCTCGCCGCTCAAGCGTGCACTTTCCTTTTGTGTTGAACCAATCAGAGCGAGAGTTTCGGTCAGGTGATCAGCCCACTCTTCACTGACCTGATCGGCGAGTCGTATCCAGTCCGTGTCCAGTAGCATTTCACCTCCATTTAGAACAGTGTTCAGTTTGTTTCCCCTATAGACATCGGTAGGAAAATAGAAGGACCCTGTCACGAGAATTTGGTCGTTGAGGCTTTGTTTGTTTTGGCCTACAGTTTATTTACGTTCTTAGCAATTACCAAGCCTGCGTAGCAAGCGCCTGTTTTTAAGGGCAAAAGGAGAAATATCGAGGGCGCACGCGTTTGAAATTCCGTGGGCAAAATAAGAATTATCTGAGTATTTAACTGTGCTTCATAATCTGACCTCTGAGGGCCAGTTCAAAATGGAGGTGGGGCACCCCAGACAAGTGAGGTAACAGGTGGGTTCGACAAGCAGTTGCCCACTCCTAAAAGAGCTCGTTAAAAACATCATTTTCTCATCGCGGGGAAATAGCATTGGAATGCACTTTCAAATCATGTACGAAGACATCAGATAGTTTAAGAGGGTTTTTGAGAAATAACAACCCTAAAAATGAATCAAATTAGATCAGATTTTGTTTATAGATAACATAACAAGGTATCTACATATTAATATTTGTTTATAAACAGTTTAGTTTCTTATATAAGATTACAAAGGTTAACGGCTAGTTTGAAATCCAACTGCATGCTGAAATTATTACAGTGTATAAACTAAGTTAATTCATTCATTCTTTCATATCTATTCACTTCATAAAAACAATGCGTTGGGTGCCATTTAACATTACAAAAACCAATCAAACAAGCAAAAACAAAACAAAGTTGCCTACCATGTTTCTATTGGATTAACAAGGTCAATGATCCCTTTTGCGACACCGTTTTCACCGATTATTCTCACGTGATACTGCTGTTGTAATCTGTCTACTTCAGCATTTAGCTGTAACATGACCTCATGTTGTGGCCATCTTGTTCCATCCTGCGATTGATGACGGCTAAATACCTGAAAAACCATATCGTTTTGGTAAGGAGACATCAGAGTCAAAAATGGCCAAAATAGAATAAAAAGTTGTAGCAAACCGCTAAACTCCGTGTGGCTAGGAATTGCGCGAGGTTGACGTCATTTCAGGGGATAATTGGGGGGGGGGAGTAAGATCATACAAAGACTGTAGTGACAGCTTGTCTGATCCTGCTTTCCAGGTGCCACCGATTGCGCTCGGCTTTATAGAAACAGCCGACATTTCGCCACGCCACAACTAACCACTGGCGGCACAGGTAAGACAAACCATGGCGACGGGGCCCACTCCTATCCCAACTGATTGATATGCAAGGTTGAGGAAGTCGAAGGTGAATACCTTAAGTCACCGCCCAATAACGAGGCCACCTGAACAGAGAGAGAGGCTTAACCGACACCCAGCGTGCTCCCCCCAGGTTTTTCTTTCACCCTGGATAGTATATGGTCGAACTCGCAGCCTCCTTTTCAACAGACCAGCGCTCTATCAACTAAACTAACCAGCGATGGTTATACTTGCAAGTAGGCGCTTGTTTTCCCTGCACCTTTTGGCTGGTGATACTCAGACGGTTTTGATACTGTGATATGACAACAGCGTGTCCAATCACACACATGGATGTTCAATTGCTTGTTTGACTACTTATTGTCAGTCACCTTAGAACCTATAGTACCCTAGTCCCCTTCCTCTGACGTATACTTCTGGCCCCAGTTGTTCAAAAGGTGCATAACATTATCCACCGGATAAATCGCTCTCTACCCAGTGGAAGGTGCAATCTGTTTCCCTAATACTTATCCACTAGCAGTAGTAATTTATCAGGTGGATAGCACTGTCGAGTTTTTGAACACATGAGGCCTAGTTGTTTACTTGTTAAACTTGTTGCTTTTTACCTTGAGTGCCACATCGGTCCACCCATCCACTTCTTTGTTCATCTGATACAACTCTTCTTCACGAGACAGTAGCGTTTCTCCTGTAAAATGCTCTGCCTCTTGATTTAACGTCTCCTCCCAAGTTTTAAGGTCTTCAAACAGATTTTTGATTAACTGTCCATCGGGAGGTCGAACGCTACCATCATCATAACTGTACAACAACAAAGAAACCAAAGTATGGACAAAAATTACAAGTGCATCTCAAGAATCGTAAAAAATTCAATATCTTTCTTTTAGTGTAAATGTATTTGGTGTGAAGTACCAATTGAGGACAAGGTTTGACTTTGCCTACTGCAGAAAGGACCGCCACTTTTGCGTGATCATCTAAGCCGGGCCAAGCCGAGCCACAACAAACAGAGAACCAATCAACTTTATTTGGACACGTGACATCAATAAGTATCAAAGGCCCGATACACTAATGTACGTGGTCCTTTTCTTGACAGGCCGACATTACCTGGGTCGAGCCCTTGATTATTTCCTGACCCTAAGTACTGGTCCCGTCTGTGATTAAGAATCATCACCATCACCATCACCATCATCACCACCTTTACTATCACCATCGTCATCATCATCACAGGAGCCCGTAACCTGGAGCGAGCAACTCCCATACTAGGCCTATGCCACGGCGTTTTTACGGACCCGTTTATTTTTAAACACATTTTAGGGCACTTTATCCCGCAAACATAGACCTCCACCATGTCTGTGAGCGCAATCAAAGTATAAGATATCAAAAAGGAAAACTAAACCTCATTTAAAAGGCAAAAAATCATTTTTAAGTCTGTAGGTTTTGCTGACTCGTTTGTGGAATTTAAAAGATATTAAAAATTCACGCCAAAGTCGTTCTAAAAATAAACTGGTCCGTGAAAACGCCGTGACACGAGCGCATGGACGATGCTCGCTCCGGGTTATAAGCTCCTGTCATCATCATCATCAACATCATTTCTTTTCTTTGGAAATAAAGCAGAAGTCTAGTAACTTTTACTTACTTCACAATTTTCTGAAACTCCTTTTTCCACTTCTGAAGTTGAGCGATCAATCTTTTAAGCTGCATTAAACAATAATATTATCACTCAACCATTCATGACATAGCACTACTCTATAACCCCTAATAGAGGAAAAGTTGTATTGTTTGTAAAGGTTAAAAACCATAAACAAACTTCCAATAAGATGAAGTTGCTTAATCAGATTATTATGTTTGCGACATGTTACTGTTTTCTGCTGGTATATAAACATGAAGCGATTTGTATTTGTTTTTGGGGTTCATCGCTGACACCGACAACAACAAGGCGTTCAAATGTACTAACGAACTTCGCAAAAAAGGTAATATGCTTACAATGTTTTCGCTATACAGTTTAACCTTTTTACCCTAACACAACACGTATGTTCTCTATACTGTACCCAAAATATTTCCTATGGTAATGATGAGGAGATTTTGCTAAACATTCAATAACACTTTCACTTGCTCATCATTTCATTTATTCTCAGAACATGAAGGTTAGATTTGCAGTGATATTTTAAGGAGAAATTGGACGATAATCACTCCTAAGAAGTGAAGGGTTAAGTGTTGACTACGAGTAGCCCATTATTTTCCTTAAGGCCGAAATATTGTCGAACTGTACGACGATTTTACGTGTCTCGTTTTGACATAAACCACTGATATACATCCAAGACTTCGCTCTCTTTACAATGGTCGACTAGTGAATGGACGTTAGGGCTGTTTCGAACTATCAGGAATTTGTTAAGGTTCGAGAAATGAGGATTCTACTATACTGTATATTAATCGAAAATATGAAATACTTACTCTGTTTATCATCTCCTCCTCAGAGGAAACAAGACTTTTGTTGAACTTATCCGAAAGTTCTCGCCATCTCTGTACATGATGCGTCAACCTCTCGAGCTACAAGCGAAGTGATAAGAATACGAGTTGAAATACTTTGATGGGCTAAAATAAAAAAAATTTGAATACAGAGACAGTTAAAAAAATCCATTTACAATCATCTTGGTAAAAATGGCAAAACACTTGAAAAAAAAAAGAAACCCTGCACGTATTTAGATACTGGATACTCTTCGTGTTCCAGGCTAAGTGGAAAGTTTCCTTTAATTGCTTGTTTGAGTGTTGCCGAAAACATATTTGTAAAAAGGGCAGTGCAAGTTTTGGATGAATACTGGTTGCCTTTCAATTGTAAAAACATACAGTTTGTCCGAACAAGCGCGCGCTATGTCATTATGACGTCATAGTGGAGAATTCGAACGTCGCGCGCAAGTTTTGTGAGATCTTCAGACCATTTGCGTGCGTTACAACTATCAAATCGCGCTTCTCTATTATTTCTTTGCAAGCTCTTTTCATAGCAGAACAAGAATATTCATCCCTCGCCATCCGGGCAATTCGTTCAGTAGTCGTCTATCAACTTTGGTCAGATGTAGGAATCCTGACAAGGCTAATAAAACAGTTCTTCCACTCGCGCTTGTTGGATCTGAGATGATTATGGCCAACTCAGCGATATCTACCGTCTCATATTCAATTCGTACTCGAAAAGAATTGTTAAACAGGTACACTTAACGATAGAAAAAGGCCAAAAGACGGATAGTGATGAATGTTTGCAGGGTACCATATCGGACCAACGTATGACTTCGTATGACTTCGTTCTCCTCTGTCCTCTTAAGACAGGCTAGAAAGCCTGATACTTACATTTACATTGCTTTACCCTTTGGAGACGCGCCTGTCCGAGACTAAGACGTAAACGCCTAGGCGCAATTTCCGCACAAGATTTGCGCGCATAACTTTTCAGCCCTTCACACCTGCGCTCTACGTGAGTACACTAAACCTTTCGTACGTTGGGTAGGTAACAGTGCAATTAAGTCTTTTTCAAAGTCTTTTTCAAAGACTTCAAAATAAGTCACAATCTCTCTCTCTTTCTTTGTTCACTAACTTTTATTGAACTTATCCGAAAGTTCTCGCCATCTCTGTACATGATGCGTCAACCTCTCGAGCTACAAGCGAAGTGATAAGAATACGAGTTGAAATACTTTGATGGGCTAAAATAAAAAGAAATTTGAATACAGAGACAGTTAAAAAATCTATGTACAATCATCTTGGTGAAAATGGCAAAACACTTGAAAAAAAAAAAGAAACCCTGCACGTATTTAGATACTGGATACTCTTCGTGTTCCAGGCTAAGTGGAAAGTTTTCTTTAGTTGCTTGTTTGAGTGTTCCCTAAAACATAACTGTGAAAAGGGCAGTGCAAGTTTGGGATGAATACTGGTTGCCTTTATAAAAACATACAGTTTGTCCGAACAAGCGCGCGCGTCATGTCATTATGACGTCATAGTGGAGAAATTGGAACGTCGCGCGCAAGTTTTGTGAAATCTTCAGAACATTTGCGTGCGTTACAACTATCAAATCGCGCTTCTCTATTACTTCTTCGCAAGCTCTTTTCATTGCAGGACAAGAATATTCATCCCTTGCCATCAGGGCAATTGGTTCAGTAGTCGTCTATCAACTTTAGTCAGACGTAGAAATCCTGAAAAGGCTAATAAAACCGTTCTTCCACTCGCGCTTGTTGGATCTGAGATGATTATGGCCAACTCAGCGATATCTACCGTCTCATATTCAATTCGTACTCGAAAAGAATTGTTAAATAGGTACACTTAACGATAGAAAACGGTCAATTCAGGACAGAAATGAAAGTTCGCAGGGTACCATATGGGACCGACGTATGACTTCGTTGACTTTTTCCCCTGCATCCTATTAAGACAGGCTGGCAAGCCTGATCCTTACATTTACATTGCTTCACCTTTTGGAGACGCGCCTGTCCGAGACTAAGACGTAAACGCCTAAGCGTAATTTCCGCAGTGATTTGCACGCATAACTTTTCAGCCCTTCTCACCTGCGCTCTACGTGAGTACACTAAACCTTTCGTACGTTGGGTAGGTAACAGTGCAATTAAGTCTTTTTCAAAGTCTTTTTCAAAGACTTCAAAATAAGTCACAATCTCTCTCTCTTTCTTTGTTCACTCTATAGCCAGGGTAGGCTGGTTCACGATATACCAAGCGAATAGCAAGTCTCGAGTTACGTCACAAAGAACACAACAATGAGTTCTAGCACTTACACAAACACAATAATAAACTTCACACAATAGAANCACCTGCGCTCTACGTGAGTACACTAAACCTTTCGTACGTTGGGTAGGTAACAGTGCAATTAAGTCTTTTTCAAAGTCTTTTTCAAAGACTTCAAAATAAGTCACAATCTCTCTCTCTTTCTTTGTTCACTCTATAGCCAGGGTAGGCTGGTTCACGATGTACCAAGTGAATAGCAAGTCTCGAGTTACGTCACAAAGAACACAACAATGAGTTCTAGCACTTACACAAACACAATAATAAACTTCACACAATAGAACGAGACAATAGGGTTTATATGACAATAGTGTTTATAGTGTTCGATATACCAAGTCAATAGTGACTTGGTATATCGAACATCACCCGTAAGGGTAAGTGCCTCACTAACACTTACCTGTATACTATCTTTTTCACTCAAGAAAATGGCAAAGTGTTTGCTCAATTTTGCCCAAGCTTTTTCGCAGAGGTGCAGTTTCTTAGCAGTGTTGAGCGAGTGTTTGTCCGTAACCTTCAAGGAAAGAGTATATGCTGCGCTACTCCACAGATCACGCTCTTCAGTGAGTTTACCTACACAACAAAGGATATAGCGATTCTTAGGTCCCGTTCACACGTATTCAGATATTTTTGAAAACAAAGACAATTTACTCCGCGGACTTCCGTGCACAGGTATATAAAGTTTTCGGGCACCAAAAATGCAGGTTTTCGAAACCGGTCCCTAGAAAGGAGTTTTTCGAAAACGCTGGCTTTAATATTTTTTTTCGTGTGGAAGGACAAAAACGGAGGTTACTTTCGAATACCACGATGTCATACATCATACAGCGCATGCCAAGAAAGGGATGCGATCGAGGCGACGCAAAAAATAATCTCCTTTTTCCAAGATATCCGGATACGTGTGGACGAGACCTGTATTGTAAGTTACCACTATAGTCACACAAGGATTACAAGGATGACAAAGGTAATTCATGAACCACTCAGAAGTCATGACACTGGGCGATTTCTCGTCCAGTCAATTCTCTCTTGTCGAGAACTATGGTCCATGAGAGTATAGGCAATGAAAATGAAATGGCACAATTGGCTGTCTGTCCCTTACGCCCGATTTTCCCAGAAACTTCACCTGAAATGGACGGTTTAAAGCATTCAACGTTTCTTAAAATAATAAATAAACAGCAATTTCCTTCTCCGTGGAAATAATGTCAAACTGTTCAAAACTTTTAAAGGTAAACCACCCGCCTTTGAGCATTTGACGGCATTTTCTTGGTCTTTGGTTTTACAACCATCTACATTAGACAGAAGAATCTATTATACTGAACGTTCGCAAGACTTATACGATATTTTAGCCACAAGCGCCTTAGTTTTTCAATCTGCTTCTCGAATATTGAAAATCAAATAAAAGTCTCTTTCTCGTGTTGGAAAAACTACCTCACATGAATCTACTTTTGTTTTCAGTCACTGCGTTCAAACCTTGTTTGACTGAATGTTGCTCTCCTGTCGGCTGGTTTAGGAATCAAGCACCACTTACCAACTAAGCCTTCCAGTCTTTTTCTCTGTAATTCGTACAAGTCATGGTATTCTGATATCAAACTGAAAGATGGCACAAAAAATAAAAGTCACTAGTTTACCTTCGAACTGCTACAAGCTCTCAAGAGCTATTTAACGAATGCGGATCGAACAGAAGGCAGTTTGGCCGAGTGGTCAACACGACAGGCCACCAGCCACGATGGCCATGGCAGCGAAAACGTCACTTCGGGCCTGTTTACATGGAGGTGGGGGACCCCAGGAAGGTGAGATAACCTGCTTATGTGGGGTAACCCGCCAGTCCAAATAATATCTCTCATTTTAATTTGATCACGTTTACATGATAGGTGGGACGACCCGCCTCATGTTACCTCACCTATCTGGGGTCCCCGACCTCCGTGTAAACAGGCCCAAAGAGCTAAGCGGGCAAAGAGCGGGGATTAGCACAAGTATGAAGCCATAATTACCTTGCATTCTTGTCAGATTCTTTAAGAGCATCTTCTAGCTAAAAGAAAGCAATCAGCAGATGCATATCAACTATGTATAAATGATTGCTTTGGTTTTAAATTGCCACACTTTTTTCTGCGGTCTAGCAGTAACATTGTGAATTGCCCCCTCGCCCAGAAAAAGAACTTTTGGTTTAAAAGTCGACCTCACTGATGGCTGAGTTGCTAAATAACAAAATATTCCGTGCCTTACCAGTCCACGAGCTCGTGCCGTACCTTCTTTACGTGCACAAACACAACTCTAAATCTAAATCACGTGCACCTGCATGTGCTCAGTTTGAACGCGGATAGTTGCTTCACGTTACATCACGTGGCAGATTTGCTGAAATTAATGTCCCCGTGAAGGCCACGAAAAAATCTTTAAGCGACTGTACAGTTGCGTTTCTCGTTAATTACCTCATCCTGGGCGTGTTTAGCCTGTTGTGTTATCTCTCGATCATGAGCTTTCACTGAAGCAAGCTCGCTGTTGAAAACAAGAAAAGACAAACAAACAAAGGAAAGATAATCACTGTATTGTCATTGATCGCCTGTCGAAGGATCTTTCTTACGCTCAAAGCTATTTAACTTAACGAGATAAATTTTGGAAGCAAACAAAATAAAATAAAGTTTAAATATCATGACAAAGTTAAAAACAAACCTTGTCAGAGAGCTAATGGACGCTTTGAATCGCACAAGTTCTTCTGTTAATCTCCTGTTCAAAATAAATTAGTTATCAGAAATCAGTCTAACATATTTTGGAGACTTTCAGTTCGACTACGAACGTCAGCTTACATAGCCGGCAAGCAAGCTCCCCAAGGGGGTGGGGGTAAGGGCCCATTCCCACTCCCCGAGGGCTACAGGCTACTGTTAAAAAACAGATGATGTTTTCGTACCTGTCTAAAGCTCTCTGAGCAATAACCTCTTGATGAAGACTGCAATTGAAAAAAAAATTATATAACAGAGAATCAGTGACTAACACTCGAGGTTTCTCACTTAGTTTTAATGAAGCCTACTAATCAGATCATGTAGCTTTTATAATGTATATTTTACATCAAAAAATCAATTGTGTGCCATCAAAAAACAAATTTGTTTTTGGATGTTCGCTTTGCCGTCGTCGTCATGATTTCGTGGTTTTTGTTTTGCTCATAAATCCTAAAATAGTTTTAATTTAATGGTTTATGAGCAAAACAACAGGTCACCACGTGCATCAGTTCACACTTTTTTGTACGTGTTTTCCCAGGCCTTCTCGGTCAATTGCCCGCGCGGAATAGTGACTAGGGACTAAGCAAACTTTCTGGTATATTTCAGCCTTTGACGTCAACTGCACTACTATGATGTGAAACTTCCTTGCGTGAGGAGTAATTTTCACGCGGGCTCGCCAGGTGCCTGTTTCTCGCTAATGCATACCACGTGAGTGAGACAGCAGCAAGTTCCGTGTCCTCTTCCTCGCGTGCGCGCGGCGTTCTCATCATTTTCCCCTTTTCACCCAACTCTAGCTCCCTTTTTTTGACGACTACTAAAAAAGGCTAAGAAATGGAAACTGGTAGTTTTGATACAAGTCGTTTCGATACGAACTCAAGCGGTGAAATTGCACAAAAATTTCATCACTTCAAGTATAATTTGCACGTGAACAAAAAAAAACATTTAGGGCGAATTTACAACTCAACTGAATAAACTTGTATCAAAACAACTTTGTATCGAAACAACCGGAAACCCTGACAAACATGACTTAATATACCTTTTTACTTGTCTGGGAATGCGATCTAAAAGATCTGCATAGCGCTTCCTTAAGTTTGCCAACAATTCTCCTCTTTCAGTACATTCTACCGTTACCTAGGGCAAAGAGCAGCAACAACAATTCAGCTGCACCGTGTTCAAATTTACTAAATTTTATATTCTAGAAATTCCACACTTACTTGGCGAATTATTTCATTGAAAGCCACGTTGTAAATGTTCTGTTCCTTTTTTAACAGCTCCAGAAGGTTGTGAATCTACTCGAGATAAAATAGATGTTGTTAAATCATTGTTAATGCTGGAGCGAAGTTCAGGGTAGGGGGGGGATCCTAGGGTGCCCTACTCATACACCTTGTCAGTAACAGTGCTCACATTGTGGGTGACTCCTCCTAAAATGTTCTACAATTGGTATAGGATTTAATGGCGCCGAAAAAAATTGTGGAATTGCACAAATTTTAGGCATCCTACTGACGAACAGTCACGACTTTTTGAAGTAGTGACGAGCAACAACAATTTGCCATCCTTTCTCCTTGATTTGAATATTACCCTTCTATTTCCTCCAAATCCCATTCATAGAAAGCAACCCTCTCCAGTTTCTCCACTACAAACTCCCTGAAATCTGGAGGGGAAATGTTTTAGTCATAAGAGCAAAATAATTCATTATTTTATTTTACATTAAATTTTCTGGTATTTTTGGCTCACAGTTATAGTTACCTGTGTCGGACCTGACAGCTCTTTCACATCATCATCAACACCAGCCCGCGCCAACATGGAATCCATGGCATGCTAAAGACAATACAAATAAGTCTATCACTACAATATCTGTAAGTGACAACTACAAGTACATGTATACGGCACGTTGAGAGATGTATGGAGTGGTAATAGGTGCTGCAAAGTGGGAAAGGAAACAAAATCTGGGCCCATCCACATAAAACGCCTGAACAGAGTTTGATGTCAAAGCCCTTGCCCCATTGGCACCAATTAAATACAAAATATTTACTATTAACCCATTCGCTCCAGGAGATTTCGCCGAAAAACGCGTTTTGAAGCTAGTCGAGTGGTTTTCTGGTCACTGTCATGCTATAAAGAGCTAAAACTTACCACAAACCGCTTTACAGGTAGTACACTTCGCGGCCTTCTGATCCAGATGCAAAAATCAGCTTGCGAAGTTCGGGCATGCGCAGAAAGCAAAATTTTGAGATAGTTTTTGGGTTTAAAAGTGACACAGCAGTCTTGACTTTTACTTTTCGCTTTCTCTCCTCCCTTCTTTTTTCGCTTTTCTTGCCTCATTTTTTTTTTCTCTTGCTGGGCATTTAGTAGGCTTCATTTTGGTGGGACTAGTTTTTAGGAAAGGTTTTAGGATCTTAGGATTAGGTGAAAGGAAAGGTAGGTGGGCAATGGAACAACATTTGCATGGAGATTTTCAGGTCCATGTCACGTGGTTTTTTGCTTCTTTCTCCCGTGTCCTTGACTGAATTGTGCTCATTCTGGTATGGTTTGAAAGATCTCTTCACTCTGCACAAGTTAGCGAAGAAAGTTGTCCTTGACCGTTAAAACTGATGACGTCACAAAGGGTAAAAAGGACCTGGATCCGCACGGGCGGTTACGGGCGGTTCAGGGGCGAATGGGTTAATGTTTGCATTATTTTGAAACATGTTTGAATTATTTCTATGAATTTCATATATGAGCTGTACCTTAAGTTTAAGCACTTCTTGTCTTCCTGTAGGTTTCCTAAAATAAACAGTTAAACTATAAGTAGCTGCAGCTGACTAAAATGTCCTGTGTTTTGATGAGACATGAAATGAGATTACATCATGCAACAACACGGTATATTGTGCTGGAAATATGCAAATTATCTGGAGAAAATTCGGCTAAAAACACTAACAGGGGTGTATGGTCATCAGATTCAAAAATTATAACATTTTGGAGGTTCTGCATAGCGTTTCGAAGCTAAATGGTATTATACATGCAGCATAGATGTTTGATATTTGGTGCAATTAGCACTGATTTCAGACTGGAACTAAAGTCTTTCTCATGATCAGATGCAATACAAGATCAAAACTGCACCCGTGCACCATCATATAACATCACAAGCCAGGTTAAAAGGTTCATGAGCACTTTTTTCTGTTGTTCAGGGTACAAACTATAATAAATACAGAGTCTATGCCAACCTGTGGAGATATAAAATCTGGAGACTCTCTCTTTTTTTACCACCCCACACCCCCAGAATTTCAACGGGACCCTCCCCCATCCCTCCCGGCAAATTGATCCAGTCCCCAGTGGGAATGATTTAGGACATCATAGGACGTCTAACATGAGGTGCATACTATCAAAATTTGCGATCATCATTTTAAGACTGATGTAATCTTTACAACAAGTTGAAAAAATCAAATGCTAAATCTCAAACTAAAGCGCAGCAAAGGTCAAAAGACGATTTTTTTTATATCTGGGAGATTTGATGACCCATACGGGAGAGTGGGAGATAGGTGCCATATCCAGGAGATTCACGGATAATCTGGGAGAGTTGGCATGTATGTAAACATATCATTTTAATTATAATCAATTATATTCAAAAATCTCTATGGTAACACTTACATTGAAGGGAACACAGTCAGATGATCTTCATGTCCCTTAACGTAAGTTGTATACTTGCTAAAATAAAAAGAATACATAATTATTTTCACACCATTAAAAAAGCCATGAACTCAAAATTAAAGAACATGCATTGTAATCCATGATTACCAAAAATGCAATATGCACAGGAGACCAAAGCACTTTATAGCCTACTCATCCCATTCCAAAAAAATCCACACAATTTACTTGTGGCTGAGTCTACGTTCAGAAAACAAGAGCAATTCATGCTGTGAATTTAACTAGAATCAAGGTAAGCATGAATGTAGAGTAAGCAATAAACTGCTTGAAAAGAGAGAGCTTTTGTGGCAAGAACCTGACAACTTACTCTTCTTGGAATTCTAATCCCAGGACACCAGGGTTCTTAACAATGTGATATTCAGCTGGGACAAGGGTGTCAGGAATCTGTGATGTCACCTCCTAAAGCACAAATTAACAGTATAAATAACAAAGAATCAGATTACTGTGGCTTTGCTGGGAAGGATGCCTAGCATTGCAACAAAACCGAAATATTTGAACCCAGCTGTCTGATTTTGGTTCCCTGGAAAGATGCATTTTTTACATTGTTTTTAGACCAACACGGCTCAAAATCCCTATCTTTTGGGGTGACGTTTACCTAGAAGTAGCACAAATTTCTCCTAGATATAAATAACGTTAAATTCAATTTCTTTATTTCACCATAACAGAGAAATTGACTTTAATCTGACAAACTGTCTTATTAATATTAATATTTTGACATGTTTTAATGTTTACCACATCTTCCTGGCCACTTTCGCCTTTACTTTTCCCAACAAAGTCCAGCTGCTTGTGTTTTGGTGATGTTTTGCTTTTATCAGAGGCAGGTGTAACCAGAGATTTTCCAGCTGAGTCCAGGCTTGTCTTGTCTGGCCCAGTGGCATCATATAGAAAAGATATATCTCTATGAAAAAATGATAAAACAAGAAACACAAATATATTATCGGCTTTGTCGTTTTCTTAGAACTGATCTCCTAATTCAAGGCCTTGACTTCTCTTTAATCTTAGATGCATCAGTTGTAGATTCGAAACATTGGGCAGTTGTGCAGTTACAGAAATTATCCATGCCCACCACCTAAACGATCATTGAGTGTGTGGTCTTACAGGTCATTTTTTTCTATGTTTTACGAAATTCTGCAGCTTTAATTGATATTAGGTGCAAGTTCCAAAAATATCCATACCTCCCCAATGGAAGGGATTTTTCCTTAGGACAGCCTCCCCCCTCCGTAAATTCCAGTCAAGCTTCATACATTTACTTAAATTCTTGGGACTCTGAGAACTCCCCACCCCCCAGGAATTTCCAATCCCTTCTTTGGAGGGAGTCTGGATATTTTCTGGAACTACACATTCTAGGAGGACAGGGAGAAGGGGGTCATGCAAACAAAAAAAACTCGCTGTGAACCCTCTGGAGAGAAGGATATTTTCATGAGTAAAAAATTGCTACTCATTACATGATTGTGAAATTTTTTCCCTATCTCTTCTATTTTCACTGAAGCAAAAATTGTGTCAGGATGCAAATACAATGTATGTTTCTGACTTGATTAGACCAAATTTTCTCAGTATAATTTCATTTCTTAGTGACTTAACTAGCAAATTACAGTGTTGCCACAAGAATACTTCCAAGTTCAGGTTAGGAAAGGAAAAGAGGAAACCCTTACCTTCCTGCTCCACACATACAAGGGGGCTGTTCCGCGAGATGTTTCAACTTTTCTCTCCCTCTAGGGAAATTCCACACATTGGCTGGCCTTCTCCGAGCTGGTGGAGTTATCTACAGATTGAATTTAAAGCAAACAAATATTGTAAATTATTGTTGAAGTATTAGATATTCAATGAAATTTGTAAACCATGTGCATCTACAAGTGCATTAATTTTGTTAGGGGTTACTCCCCTGGAGAGAATTTCCAAAATTCTTTGGAGGCAAAATGAAATACAACATCAAAATAGCTCTTTTCATTCTTATCAGGTTTGAACAAGTCACACTTTTACTTGGGCAAACCAGGAAAGTTGTCAGATATGCAAATCAACTGCTGCAGAAATCAAGGTAGTCTTTAGTATTTGAACTAAGCCTGGTGAGTAATCATGCTGAATGCAAATCACAGTGTATGGTGACCAACTGTTATTCGCAGTTCTGCCAATTGGATTTAAAATTTCCAGGAATTTTAACTGACGACGATCGCACCCCAGATCACATAATAAGATTGACCCTGCTATGAGAGAATTTCAATCACTTTTAAAGAGAAGCCAAGCTAGTAAGTCCAGGCATGTATTATGAAAATAATGTGAGCTGAATCTTTTTTGCAGCAAGATCAATGCAACATCGTATGGAAAAAAAGACTGCAAACCAACCCATTTTAATACCAGAGGCTGATTTAGAATAGGAACGGGAACATCAGTTGACGATGGCGTGCGCAAATCATTGCCACTGGCTTGACCAATGGCAGAGCAGCAAATTGAGCACCGGAAGTAGCATTAATTTCTTTTCTGTGCACTTTCCCGTCGTCAACTGACGTTCCCATTCTGTTGCTAAATCAGCCTAATATCAAGAATGATAGGACATTTAGGTTGCATACATATGACGATGTACATGAAGTAATTAACTTAAACAGACTGTGCAATACGAAACCTTTATTTAGAATCGCTTGGCATTTCTGAACAAACACTAAATACTCTGGTGAGGTTTTGTCAATAATTCCTGTGGATATTCATCAGGAGTTGACTCAGTGTGTCAGGACTTGAATATTTTCTAAGTGTCGAAAACATTGAGCTTTCACTCTATGCCCAAGCTCGACAGTCGCCAATGCTTTTAACCCAAGGCAATATTTACAATCGCTTGAGATTGCCAAACAAATAGCTTACTTTCTTAAAGGAATTAAACGAGCTATTCCGAGAAAATTGTTCAAAATTCTGACTGCCGGGCATCTAGCTTTTTGAAAACAGTTCCCGGCTGCCGGGTATCTAAACACTTCCTAACTTGGAAACTTAAATGTACATTACCACATGAACATGTATATTTCACAGCCGCTTTTAAAAGTCTATGGCTGAAAAAATAAAGAATTATTGACTCATTACTCTGACTTCATAACTATAACCCCCTACCTCGAGAGGTTTAAGCCTCTTGTGTTTTGTTGGTGGTCCTAACTGTTCGCGTGAAGGCGGGATCGGCTGCTGGGTCAAACTGTTCAAAATGTCATCCGGAATAAAGTCATTCATCCCGGTTAAGAACGTTTTATCACGATCTAAAATGTCACTTTGTCCACCAGAATCCATAATTTCATGTTTCAATTCGTCACCTTGTGATTTTCCTCCCTCGAGTATTGGTAAAACGCAGGGCGAACCTGGTGTTTTAACAAGCTTGTTTTTACCACGAGAAGCGCGGGAGGTTTCTCCTGTGGAAATGTGAGGTGATTCGCTTGGTTTTACTACTGTGGAGACGCTCATGTTTGCATTTCCAGGGTTAAAAGTCTTGTTAATTTAGGTTAATTTCTTGGTTGGATGTTCCATACCATAAAAAAGTACAAAACAAACACGATTAGGTCAAGTCAGAATCCAAACAGACGTCCGCCATGTTTTTCTGCTGCAGATTTCCCAGGTTGCTAATGGTTACCATAAAGAAACAACTAGTTCTCAGTTTTACTCGACCCCGTCCTGACGTTTCAATAGAGAGCTGGGTACCAGGTTGTACGTTAAGGTTGTACGCTTTGTAAAAACTTTTTTTTGGCTTTTTGTAGCTTTTTTCCCCTTCCTTTTTCAGGCGTGATGTGATTCAAGATCTGATTTCAGTGGTGGATCCAAACAAAGCCCACGACATTTATCATGTAGTTTTACATTGTAAGAAATACTGAATTTGCATGGTTTTTCGTTTCTCAGCCCTCTTCACCTTACCCTTGGTGCCAGAGACTTTTCTAGCGCGGTTTCCGGTTTCTGTCACGTCTTCATAGTGATCCGCGCGAAAAGTGGCTTGAAAACAGAAGCGTTTTTTTGTTAAAAACAAAAGCGTTTTTTTCGCGGCTTCGCCGCTAGTGGCTTCGGGCCTTCGGCCAACACCGAAAATTCCCGCCGCACCCTGGTACCCAGGGTATCTTCACATCCGGTTTAACCAAACTTGCCTCAAATGAGGAATGAAAGGGGAGCAAGGATGGCGCAGTGGGTGAGAGCACTCGCCTTCCACCAATGTGGCCCAGGTTTGAGTCCAGGGCCCAGTTGTTCGAAAGCCTATTAGCGTTAACCCGCGGTTAAATTTTAACCCGAGTTTCTTTTTCTTTTATCAAAAGCACTCTCTCGGAAAATTTTCTCTATTCTTTTTAGAGTATCCTATCACCAAATTTTAGGAATAGATATTAAACTGAACTTGCTTTCTAAGTTCTGATGTCCGAATTCAAATTTCGCACTAAACCTGGATTACCTTCACCCAGCTTCGAACAACCCGGCCCTGGCGTTGACGTCATATTTGGGTTCTCTCCTTTGCTCTGAGAGGTTTTTTCAAATTCCAAATTCCAATTTGACCAGGAATTACTACTGCGAAGAACCACCCAGTGGAAGTGCTACCTCTAAATCGTTATTTATTCTATTATCTATTATTGTTGGTTTTCACATGACGTCACTAAAATTCAAAATAAAAAACTATCGATCCTACCGAGATTTTACTTTCACGATGCATTAGAGCAGCTGAAAACTAATTTTCATACAAATTTTCTCTTCAAAAGGGTTCTTGGTTTTGTGATAGAGTACGCTTGAATTCCTAAGCTTTTGCGTGACGCGGCATTTACATGACGGCCAAGAGAGCTGTCATGTAGGTTAAAAAAATGACTTATTTCAGGAAATTTTACTATCTAAACGGTTCATGTATTAGAAAACGTATCACTTTAATGTTTAAGAGTTTCTCAAAGAATAAATTCACGCTTTTGTAGCAAAACTCGGTAACAGATGTTTCTGTTGCTTTCCGTCCGCCATGTTGGAGCTCATCCAGGTGAGCACCAGCATGGCGTCTCAATACAAATCTCTATAAATTTGGGTAAAACATTTCTTCGGATATCTCGTATACGAAAATATTCCGCTGACCTGAATCTTGGCGAAGGGCTTTGTATATGTACCTCCTTTCATTTCCCAGATTCTGGACATTACCTATTAAACGGTTTTGATTTTTTTGATCTATTTTGAATGGCGTGACACTGAAAACCAGCAATACAGTTTATTGAAAATAATCACCTGCGTAAAAACTTTCAACGTAAAAAAATTTTGTCCCCTGTAATCTTATCAAAATTTCCTGTATCCGCCCCTAGTTTTAAGGGCTAATTGGATCCCCAAAGAAACCAAGTTTATGCCTTATTCTAACCTGCGTAGCATGGCAGTTTTCGTCGGGCGCGCAAGCAAACCAAGGTGGGCGAGGTCGACAAAACCGCCATGCCACGCAGGCTAGCCTTATTCCGGTCACAATTGCATCGTTGTCAAAGATCCAGCTGGATATATTTATTTTTGTTTGAATATTTTGTATCTGAAATAAATTTAATGATTCAGGAAGCCATTGTTACATGGCCGGTTAAGACTGGTTGAAGTCCGAAACGATACGCTTTTTAAACCAGTTTGCTCTGTTCTATACTGAATTTTTTTTTTTAATTTTTATATTTAATTTTTTTTGTGCGCACAGTTTCGCGTCATCAAAGGCGCGAAAGCCTCTGCCATAGATATCGCGCCGAAAATTGACGGTTTCGAGCGTCCATATTTCGTTTTGTTTCATTGAATAAAACTGATTACCATAAACCATTTAATTACCAACCTCACTGCTACTGAACCGTACTGTATTTTTATTTAATCTGATAAAGGTATCGGGTAAACATTGGACATCAGGGAATGAACACGAGAAATCTCCTCCGACTTTAACACAGTGCACTTGTTTCATTGTTTGTCCGATTGCAGAATATACTAAACTCACTAACAGCGCGCATATACCTCAGTAAGAGTTACCTTTTGCGCTTCAACATTAATTTTACAAAAACTGTTTTATTCGCTGGCTTTTAAATTCAAAACAGTTCATGAACACCTGCGATTCTAACCGACCGGAAGCCAGCTTCATAGTCTGTGACGTCACATACAAAGTGTACGTGGCATTCTACCGTGGCGTATTATGGTCTAGTCTTCAGTCCCTTTTGCGCGTTCATCGTGAGCGCCATTTCTCTTCTCTTGTATGCTCCTCAAATAACGATGGGAAAGTCGTCTTCCCAGGAAGGATCGTCCGCTTACAGTGAATATTTAAGCAGGGCGGAAGATATCGCGGATCAAATCCTTCGTAATGGCAAACACGTGTTGCCTCATCTGGCGAGGTTCTGTCTCATCTCCACGTTCTTCGAGGACGGTTTTCGAATGTGGTTCCAGTGGGATGAGCAGCGGGATTATATGGACCAGACGTGGCACTGTGGCTATGTGATCGGCACCATTTTTGTGCTGTTCAATTTAGTCGCTCAGCTTGGTGGTTGTGTTATGGTATTATCGCGGCAAAAAGTTGAAATTGCTGTGGGAATTCTGTCTTCTGTAATTGTAGTTCAAGTGAGTTTAAACTTTCGCTTTACTGTTATAACCTACCCTTTTGTTTTGTTCTGTTTTTTTTTTCTTTTTCTTTGTATTCAGTCATATCACCCATACCAAGGCTACAAATAACTTTTCGCTATTATATTTTTTACTTGTTCCAAATATCCCTTTTGTTTTATAATCATTTTTTCTTAACTGCAAGTACACAGGTTTTAATATTATGAAAGCTTATGATGAATCAGTTTTACTTGGCTCTCCACTTAAGATCCATTCATTTAATGTTTAATGAATAATTCAGATTTAACTTAAGCCAACGTATGAAATTAGAAACGCATAAAACTGATTTTAGTGGCCTTTTAATTTTGACAGTAATTTTTTTTCTTTTGTTTTGCAGACATTGGCATACAGTATTCTATGGGATTTTAAGTTCTTACTCAGGTAAATTATTTGTATACTTTTATAATCAACATAGCTTATTATGAGTAATAATTAGCAGACAGTTATATGTACCTTGGTATCCCTAATCCACAGCCATGTCAATGATATTAATTTTGGATAAGCAGATACTGTGTACGCTTATGTCTGTTATCTGTTAAATACAAGTTCAATGTAAAGAAATATGAGCACAAAATGTAGGACTTACTGATGATGGGATCTGATAAATACATGATCTTCATCTGTTAAACCGTCATGTTTTTTTTTTTCTGTATTCCCCTGAACAAGCTGAGTGACATGGGTCTGACATGTCTCGCACACCTGTGCCCAGTTTGTAAATTACACACAGCATTATTTTGGTTGTAAAAATTGGGAGAAATAACTTTGTAAGAGCAATATCTTCATATTATTTTTTAGAGTTTAAGTCATCAACCAAGTGCAATTCCTCTTAAGTCAAAGTCAATTTTCTCCTAACAATATCCATACATAATCTAGAGAAAATTTGTGAGAATTAAAGAAATGATTATCTGATGGGAAAAGCTTTGATCAGCAAACAAATTCTCTCAACTTATTCTTTAAGGAAATGTATGGAGATCGGTCCAGAGAATTTGTAAGTGGATATTGGGGCTTAAGGTGACTCGACCCAGTTTTTTTTAGGGGGTACCATCCTACTTTGAAGCTCTCTGGTATCCCCACCTTTACTTTTATCGTAAGTCTAACACATAGAATGGATAACGTATAGATCAATCTACAATATAACATAAAATTTTTGGCGATCGGAGTAAATGTCACGTGGTTATAATGCCACGCCCCTTTCAGGTCTGAGTCGAAAATCTGCTGTTGCCAGCATTTTTTCGTGAAAATCTCTCGGCTACACATAGTGCGCATTAGTGCCTTGCGCTGAACAGAGTTTCACCAAAATCGCAAAGACCCAATTCGAGAAATTCAGCGGTTTCCAAATTTAGGTCATAATTTATGCGAAAATGATAAGCAAACTTTACACGGATTATATCTAATAAACTATGAGATTCATCTCTGTATTTTGGGCATCGTTATAACAGATGGGTCCTTGCAAGTCAGCAAAACGCTTTAGGGCCTTGTAAATGCGCGCGATTTCGAGCAAAGCAAACATATAGAAATTATAGTTTTCGCTATTTGTTGACGTTTGTCAGCGTTTAAGAGTCCTTCTCACGAAAAAAGCATTTTCTTAAAAATTCGTAGTTTTTTTTCCTTCAAATTTTTTCAGGGCCACAATTGATTAACTAACTACCCGGACTCTGAATTTCATGGTCATTGAAAAACTGTGACATTATCTTCTATAAGCCCAAACTTGAGTAAACATTGAAGATTTTTAGCGTTTTGGCTGAGTTTGTGCTTTGGGAGTTGTCTATTGTTTCTAGTCTGTCATTATACAGCATTCTTGTTCAGCACGCGTGCAATGACCACGCTTGGCTGACTTCCGAATGCTCACCGAGATATTCCCGTCACGAGTTGGTTTAATTATTGGCTTGCATTAAACCTATGAAAAAATGATATTTTTTTAATAGTAAGTAGATTTAGTGTGTAGCACTTCTTGATTTTTTTGCAAAGGCACAAGAAGCACGAGAATTGATTAAAAATTGTGACTTAAACCTCTATGTATCACGCGATGGCCTGTCTCACTGTACCAAAATTATTATATCTCGGTGAGCATTCGGAAGTCAGCCAAGCGCGGTCATTGCACGCGTGCTGAACAAGAATGCTGTATAATGACAGACTAGAAACAATAGACAACTCCCAAAGCACAAACTCAGCCAAAACGCTAAAAATCTTCAATGTTTACTCAAGTTTGGGCTTATAGAAGATAATGTCACAGTTTTTCAATGACCATGAAATTCAGAGTCCGGGTAGTTAGTTAATCAATTGTGGCCCTGAAAAAATTTGAAGGAAAAAAAACTACGAATTTTTAAGAAAATGCTTTTTTCGTGAGAAGGACTCTTAAACGCTGACAAACGTCAACAAATAGCGAAAACTATAATTTCTATATGTTTGCTTTGCTCGAAATCGCGCGCATTTACAAGGCCCTAAAGCGTTTTGCTGACTTGCAAGGACCCATCTGTTATAACGATGCCCAAAATAAAGAGATGAATCTCATAGTTTATTAGATATAATCCGTGTAAAGTTTGCTTATCATTTTCGCATAAATTATGACCTAAATTTGGAAACCGCTGAATTTCTCGAATTGGGTCTTTGCGATTTTGGTGAAACTCTGTTCAGCGCAAGGCACTAATGCGCACTATGTGTAGCCGAGAGATTTTCACGAAAAAATGCCGGCAACAGCAGATTTTCGACTCAGACCTCAAAGGGGCGTGGCATTATAACCACGTGACATTTACTCCGATCGCCAAAAATTTTATGTTATATTGTAGATTGATCTATATGTTATCCATTCTATGTGTTAGACTTACGATAAAAGTAAAGGTGGGGATACCAGAGAGGTTCAAAGTAGGATGGTACCCCCTAAAAAAAACTGGGTCGAGTCACCTTAAAGGGTTAATCTCTTCTTGCAATAATACCCCCCCCCCCTCACAATTCTTGTTCTCCCTGGGTTAGGGTAAGGCTTATCATTTTACCTCAAGGACATTTCAGTAACAAGCCAAATGTGGTATGGTTTTGCGGTGGGGCAACTACAATACTAGCAAACTGCAATATTAACTGACAAAGCCACAGGTTACCTTTAGAAACATAACAAAGCTACAGTGCTCTTCTAATAGCAGAAATAAATTTTCAAGTACATACAACTAGTACTGTGGGAAATTCATTTCCAGTGTACAGTTGTTTTCCCCCATAATGTGGTGGTTGCCACGATCATTATTTTCAAGATTTTGGAACAGTGCAATCAAAATGATCCACTGACAATTCAAACTTGTAGTGCACAGGAAGTTTTAAAACAGTAAATTATTTTAAAATTGACTGAAAGATACCTTGGGTAATGTTCTGTCTGTAGGAATCTTGCTCTCGCTGGTGGCTTGTTACTTCTACTAGCTGAATCGCGTTCTGAACAGAAAAGCTTATTCGCAGGAGTCCCAACCATGGGAGGCAACACCCCTAAGACGTACCTTCAGCTGACTGGCCGAGTGCTCTTGGGATTTATGTTTGCAACCCTTATCAAGTTTAGGCTTTCTTTTGTCTACATTCTTCAAGATGTAGCAGGTACAATTTTGATGGTCCTAGTTGCTGTGGGGTACAAAACCAAGCTTGCTTCATTGGTGCTTGTTCTGTTGCTCACCATCATTAACATCTTTATCAATCCATGGTGGATGTACCATTCCCAATCACCATTAAGAGATTTCCTCAAGTATGACTTCTTCCAGACAACATCTGTGATTGGTGGTTTGTTGCTGGTTGTTGCCCTTGGCCCTGGTGGAGTTAGTGTTGATGACTACAAGAAGAAGTGGTAATAAAAGGAAATATTAATGTGGACATGTTGTGGCAAAATTACTCAACTTATTCCCAAGCTTAGCAAAATATAATTTTTTCTTACCAATCATTGTATGTTTTCTCTTAAGTTGCGTTGCAATAATTTTGTGAGTAATTTATCAGGGTACCACCTAGTCTGTTAATTGCATAATAATGAAAGTAAAGTCTACATGCTGTAGGCTTTAAGCTGCCTGGATTAAAAAGGGGGAAAGTTTGGTTGTACTTGAAGATCTGAGAGATGGACTTTTTAGCTAAAAAAACTCTTGAACTGAGCATAAATAGCTTCCATGTTCTTACAGTATTTATAACTGGCTTGTTAGAAATTTTTGTTTCTGGTGGGCCTTGAGCATTTTGACCATTATTGAAACTACAGTGAAGGGATTATAGGACTGGTAAAGAACTAGTACTGCAAAGTCGTTCGTCTCAAACTGTAGTGTCCATGAATAATTATTACAGTTGTTTTTTTGTTTGTTTATTGTTGTTTTTTTTCGGTTTTCTAACATGTCACACTAACAATAATGTAAGTACATGAAGCTCTTTGGAACTGTCGTGAAAACGTATGAATAAAACAGTCAGTTTCAAAACAATCTGTAGCGCTATGCTATAGCAGTACTTGGTAGCCTCTTGTGCCTCTGTTTTGCTCTTGGGCAACTAGGAAATGTTAGGTTTTTTTCAGAAAGATCATAATAATTATTGTGTACTGGGCACCCAGGATTTCACAGGTTCAGAGCATTTGGTTCCCTACATTATTTTTCTTAGCTGCAACCTTGATATGGTGCTGCATCAGTGGGGAGATTGGAAAATAATTGTGGCAAATTCATGCCAAGAGTTCAGAATGAAAGCTTTTGAAATCCCTTTCATTAGTAAAATTGCATTATCAACTACTGGCAGGTTATAACAACTTTGTCTTTACTTTCAAAACCACTCAGTTGTGGAGCTACTGGAATGTTGAAAAAAGACACTGCTTTGTCACCAACTTTCTACTGCCTTAAATGGAAATGGCCTTGTTATTGTTTTTTTTTTTTATCTTTGAGTGTTGGAGAAAGTACATGCAGTTTAAAATTAAAATATAACAGCCCAGTCTCAGAATTTGTGACATGACGTGTTTTCTTGGTATTCAAAGGTGTTTCTGAGGTTGTTGTGTTTTTTTCCTTAACATAGCCGCCTAACATTTCACATCCTATGTGAAAACGTTTTCCCTGTTGGGTTCCTTAAGGTATGTTACTGGGTGTATTTTGTTCGTGACAACAGCCTTGAAAAATCATTTTTCTTACAGACGGTTGGCTCTGTGTCTTGATTGATTAAGTCTTATTATGAATGCCATTGGAGGAAATGAAAAATGTAGCAAATAAATAGTTTTATGTGCCAATTTATTGTGTGTAGATGACAATGCCAGTCATTCTCATTGTCACCATCACAATCTTCATCATCATCATCATCATCATAGTTAGTCCTCGTAGTGCCTGCAACCTGACTTTTTATTTTGTGCTAGTAATGAATACTGAACCAGAGCTGCTATCAAGGGTTGGGGGCTGGGCTGGGGGTTTCCCTTGGCTTTTACGAGCATGACCTCTGGCTACTTTCATAGGAAACAATAGGAAAATAAGACCAAAAGAAAGTCCTAGCTGTTCAATTCCCCACTTGCTTATTGCATAATCCAGCAACTTGAAATCTTAGCAACAGCCCCCCTGAACACTCTTCCTCAAAAGACTGTTTTACAGTGTGCAAGAAAGTTTTCTTAACACTAACCATAAAAGCTAACACATCTTGCTTTTAGTGCAGACAAGGTGCTAGGGTGGAGGACAGTGAGATCTTTACCAATAAGCATATTTTTATTTTAGAATAATGCCCAGTTTATTGAAAGTCATATCTTATACCTGTAATCGTTACTTTAATCTTGTTGCCAATAATTATATTTAGACAGTTCCCTTGGGGTTTATCAGTGATAGCAATCATTTTCATTTGTGACTGTTTGTGCAGTCAACTGTCTTGATGTATATGTTGTCGTTTAATTTTGTCTCTGGTTTAAATTTTATTTTCCTTTGTTTTTTGGTATGGTAATGTATGATAATTTAAAAATTTAAATTTAAACCAAGGATAAAATTAAACCACAACATGTACATAGAAAGTACAACAGTAAGCTGGGTACATTTATTTTTAAGTCAATAAATTCTTCTACAGTTACTTTGTAGAATTGCTTGTTCTTTGCAGGTGCAGCTTAATTACTGTTCTGAGAACTCAGAAATTTAAAAAACAAATTTAATAGTTCCGTGGAAAAGTTTGCATGAAAGATATGTCGAGTGAATTGTTCACAGCATGAAAAGTTAGGAATAAATATGATTGTCTCTTTTACTCCAAGGGTGGAACGGCTCAGTCAGAGCTGACTGCTAGTCTTCCTTGCAGCCATTTTGGTCTTGCTGGGGAGGTGCATTGCATGATGAAACTAAAACAGCAGTGAAGGAGACTTTGTTGACTGCATGTCTTCTTTAAAACCAGATTTTCTTTTATTTAGCAAATTTATAAAAACTGTGTGGACATATGCACAGGTATCAAATGTATTATCTAAGTTGTTATGGAAAGAGCTGGGTCCAATTTAATTTTTCGATTCATTACATGTCACATTTATTACTCAGGCCCCAGTTGTTCAAAAGGTGGATAGCGCCATAAATAGCTATCCAGGGGATAATGCAATTATTGCTTCTTACTACTTATCTGCTGGATAGTGATTTATCTGGTGGATAGCGCTATCCACGGGGCCAGATGGTCAACTGTTGGAAATAAAGTCTAATATAAAGTTTTATTTTTGCATTATGAGTAGTCTAAAGATGAAAGTATTGTGTAAAACTAAGAGTAATGTTCTAGTGATGCTATCTCTCTTCTAAAGAAATCATTAAACATTCTGAATTTGAATGTCTGTGGCTCAGTATTGTTGTTGATATTATGATGTTCATTCATTTAAAAAATGTATAACCCTATCTCCACCAGCCTCATCATGAATTAGCACATTTCACCCAAGCTTTTACATGTAAGCCCAGTGAACATCCAAAATCTCAGAATTACAGCTATTTTGAAATCTGCCTCAGAACTGCGACCTGGCAAATATGGTTATGGAACTGCATTTCACCAGTTTTACTGATACTTGTGAAAAATAAAATTATTTGCAGACCTCAGGCACATGCAAAAAGGCACAGGGACAGATTACTCAAGAAGAAATGGTTACCAGGTATCTACATTGTAGTTACCACAGGTTGCTCTTGTTTTCGCTACAAAAATTATTATTCAAAAGACCTCTTGAACAAGCCAAAAAGCATTGAGCCAAGCTGTACTCAGGAAATAAATTTAATTACATTTTATCACAGGTCGCTCTGCTTGAACAGGCTCTGTGATATTGAACAGGCTACAATCTACATTCTAAACAAAACACTTCTTTCTCCCCCATTTTGTGTAGAAAACTGACAAATGATAAACAAATAGCCACTCATCTCTTCGTAATACAAACACTTAACACAATGTGGAATGTCATCAACCTTTAAGACCTTGGATGCAATAGACTTCATATTTGATACATCCAGGGAGTGTAAAGTACCATCTGATGCAGTACATAGGGTTCTGCCAATCACACGAGACATTTCAGCAGCTTCTTTGACAACAGTGACTTCTTTAAGGTTCCCCAAGTTGACAACAGAAATTTTCTGTTCATAGGAAATGAGCAGAGAGCTGTTGATGATGTACATTTTGTCAACATTCCCAGGGGATTTAACATCATGCAAGCAAGTCCATTTGTTCAGATCCCAGTACTTGATAGGTCCATTAACTTCGCAGGAGAATAGATGCCTGTTGGAAACAGCTAATGCAGAAATGGGTGCTTGGTGTCCATCCAGGGTGCACTGCAGCTCAAATGTTACCCTGTCCCACACTTTGATAGTGCTGTCAGTAGAGGCAGAGAAGATGTGAGCATCGTTATCTGCTAAGCACCTGACTGATCCTTCATGTCCTGACAGAATGTGTACACACTTCTCAGAATTTGCATCCCAGATGAGGATTTTCTTATCAAATGAACCTGAAACCACATTGCTACCAACACCAATCATGCACAAGACAGTGCCTGTGTGACCGACAAGATCAGAAACTTCCATGGCTTCAAGATCCAGGCACTTGATAGCATTTCCAAGGAAGGGGTCACTTTGTTGTGATGCTACCTGGCTCTGAGCTAAGAAGATCTTGTTTTCCATTGCTACCATGGCAATAGGGGTACCAGACCCCTCTTGTAGTGTTGCTAGCTCAACACATTTTCGTAGAAGGATAAATTCTGTCAGAGGCTCCACCATCCTTCCATCCACAGCAATGTGTGAGGAGTTGCTTTCTAGATATTTACTACTGCTGGTTTGGTCTATGACAAAGTACCTTACACAACGATTAATTTCAGAGACCTTACCTAACACGTCTTGCCTAGTAACATTGTTGCTTCCCCAGCGCCATTTTGGACCCATCTTTTGCCCGATTTGAATACTCGAAGCATTTACCACAGACGGAAGGGAATTGAGTCTAGATACGTACTTCATGCACAAGGATGCAGCTACTTCGGGCTTGTCTACAAATTCGTGTATAGCCGATGCAATCATTATTTTGGTGGCTAGAACTTTATCTTGCAACTCCTTCACTACACCCAAAGCGACCTGAGCCGCATCTCTTGCTTTGTTGAACTCTTTCTTTGCTTCCTCTGGATCGTCGTTAAGAATTTCGTAGGCATTCTCCATAAAAGCCGTCGCGGCCACCAATTCTTTGCGTCTTAAGGCATCAAGTTCCTCGTGAAGTTTTCGGAATTCTGACAACAGAAGTTGCCGAAATTTTTCGTCCGTTGGGTCCCCTGTTTCCAAGCGTGCAATCGCTCTATTTGCAATTAATCCCCATACTAGTTTCAAAGATATTCGGACTAAGGCTAGTTCAGCCATTTGAGGGCTGCGTTCGGTAGTAATATGTGAAGAAAGACTCTCGCAAAAGGAACTTTCGAAATCTCTGCCACCGTGTAAAATTTGACAAGGCATTCCGCTCTTCCAAAGAACCTGGAAACGAAAAATTCTTGGAAAACACATTGGGGGAGGGGTGAGGAGAAAGGAGATAGTAATCATGCTATTTATTTTAGGCTATCTTACGTGTAAAATGCAAAAAATTCTTTCAGTCAGAAAAATACGTTCAAAAAACAATAAGTCAAAGATTTCTTCCACTTTTTGGGCTCCTTCGACTTAAGAGCCCTCCCAGCCCCTCCCCTCCCTTCAGGCAGTTGTTTTTTCTGAGGGAATAGAGCCACCGGGAATAGACTGGTATCGAATAACAAGCTTTTACTTTTCGTTGAAGTTTTCGTTGAACTTTTGGATTTTTTTCCGCCTGGTTTTTACAAGAAATATGAAAATTGTGGAGTAGTCTCTAAGGCAATGGGAAAATTCTTCTTCTTATCAATCCTTTTCATTTTAACTTACAGTACAGGCTTTGCAGATGAGGAGAAGTACATTTTTCACGAATGCAAACCTTTTCCTTATGCCTTTTTCGACTCCGTTCCATTTCTGTTGGACTTCGCTCGATGGATCGCGTGGTTTCTTGAACATTTCTTCAGAGCTGTCTATTTTATACTTAATTCTGTTGTCATCACTACCTGTGAAACCATTTCCAGTATCTTCAGCTGTCTCAAATACGTGATCAAGTTTGTTGAATACCTCGGTTGTGGAGTTAAGACAATCTTCCAACTGAACTATAATGTTGTGTCCTCCATTTTTGACTTCATTGCGAAGTCTGCTCGATTTACGGCAGACTTTGTATGTTCGTTTGTTGAGGGTGTCGCCAGTGGGATTGTATCAGTCTTCCAGAGCCTTCTAAGTCTCTTCCATGAAGCTGTATCTTTCATTCCTAGCGGGTTATATCACGCTTCTCATGGAGCCGTTGTGGCCAAGAACGCCACCGGCGTGCTATTGTATCAATCTTATCTGGGATGGAGATATGTTTTCAATACACCCACATCAGCAGTATTGACCATTGTAACTAGCATCAGAGCCGTGATGGAGTGTCTTGTAGTGTCAATATGGAACACAGGGGTGCTGATAGTGGAAATTTGCCATTCAGTTTTCACCTCAATCTTCACTGGCATTGAATTTGTGGGAAAAACAGTCCAGACATGCTCACTTTCTACCTGGCATAATCTCGTCTGGTTCTTTCACAGGCTGTGTCACTATCTTCAAGCCATGCTACACACATTAGGGGACTTGACTCTGACAGTGTTTCATACCCTCATTTGGGTCATTGATTTAATCTTTGGCAACATGCACCATGGCTTGTGGGTTGGATTAAAAGCCATGGGATGGATGCTCTATATGTCATTGAACAAAGTGATCTCTTGTTTCCTGGAAGGTCTTAGAAGTTTTCCAAGTCTGTTAGCTATTGGAGTGCATTACTTTCCAGGAGGCAAATGGAGTCTCATAAGCTTTGTTTCAAGTGCATTTTTGATTGCGTATTCTTGGACTGTTTTGAGAGTAAATGTGTTCAATGTTGCATTTGAATTTTTGGAGTCTTCTTTACAAAGTGTTCTAGCCTTCATTGCAACTCTCCAGACTCCTAGCTTTATGCAGAGGCCCAGACATTGCACACAATCTTGCAAGGTGCCTGCAGATGAAAAGGACCAAGACTTAATGGAACAGTTAGAAAGAGAGAGAGACAGGAACTTGTGTGTTGTCTGCCAGACAGAGGAGAAGAACATTGTTGTCATGCCTTGCCGTCACATGTGCATGTGCAAAAGTTGCTGTACTCAACTTTTTAGGATGCAAAGATATCAACGGAAAACATGTCCACTGTGTCGTCACACTATCACATCAACCTTGGAAATTTATTCATGATGGATAGTAACTGAATAACATTTTCAGACACTGATTACGTGTATCAAGGGGTAGGAGGTGTGCATCACAAGATGAAGTGGAGCAGAAGGATTGTATGAAAAAGACCAATCGGCAGTGTTTTCATTAACTATATATCTTTATCTTCAAGTTCATGAAGACAAGATCACTGGAGTTGATGTGGAACTAATGCTTTACTTGCATCTCACAACTTAACTGTTGAAATGTAGTACAAATAAATGATGTTATTGATCAAAACTAGAACACTTTACGTCAGGCTTAACAACCATTCAAGGAGAAATCGTTACCTTCAAGTGTGAAGGCAATATCATTTGAGCTAATGCATCTTAAAAGGAACAACTGCCTTACTTCCATCTCATCATATGTCATTGTCAAAAATGAAGTAGATATCAAGGCAGTTGAAATGGAGTACAAGTGATGACATTAATCAAAAACAGAACTTATGGTTAGGCTTAACTACCAAGGAGACCAGGAGAATTTTCATTTAACTACAACAACAGTTCTGCAGACTTGAATGTCACAGTTTTCTTTTAAAAGAATTTTTCACTATTGAGTGGAAATCATAGATCTTGTGACTTTTAAGGAAAAACACATTCCTTTCTTAGAGAAGGCATGGTTGCTTTAGAAATTTCTTCTAAGTGGAGCTATAGATTTTGTCAGCTGGGCTATTTGGTTCTATGAGCAACCACAAACATGTACAATCGGCGACAAAATGAGTTGAGACACTTCGCCCAAAAGTGGGCTTTTTTACATTTTATGAACTTCAAAAGGAGGAAATATAGCTTTCCTCCCTCATCCCCTCTGTGCAATGTTGTGCCCTTGTTCTAGCTACCTATAGAAAACAACAAACACCCCAACTTTGAATGGAGGGGACAGGGGAGGGGTGCGCATTCTTTTGTTCTCCAAAGTCACCCTATTTAAGTACAATGTCTCAACAATAATATTTTGTCGCCGATTGTAGCTTGAAAATATCGTTTCAAAATTGATAAGTACACTAAAATATTCTTCATGTTAATACTGTTTAGTTATTTTTCAAAGTTTTAAGTGGAGAAGTAGCTCTGGATATACTAATAGACTTTTCACATTCCCCTACTTTTTTGTAAGATTGTAGAAATCAAGCATCTACCCTTACGGGCAACCATCTTGGTTTCAAATGTACCAAGCCCAGCGTCGGGATGAGTAAAGAGTTTTAGGAGGCAGGGGAAAGTTTGGGATAGCCCAATGCCCCTACCACTATAAACCCCGATACCCATCCCCTCAGTACATTAAGATGACCGCCTGTAATAGTAAGCGCCAAGTCTCATCATCTTAAAGAAAAATAGAGGACTGTGAACAGTCTACTCTTCATATCAAGCTTGTTCTAATTGGTGAACACTGTCCTAACTGTCCTAAGTCTTTTACACTTCTAATGGACCAAAACTTTAGTGTTATAGAGATATTTCCTAATAAATATTTGTAGTTGTCCGGCCAAAAAAGTGTTATGTCCAAGCAAAAATAAGTTTGACCGGACAACTTGACCAGTTCCAGCCACAAAGTTATTTCAAGCCCTGCTGTCTCAACATCTTTTTAGAAGGCTACTTATTTGTTCCCCTATTACCTTGTACTCAGAATTGACAGGAAGGATATTTTCCATGATTTTAAATTAAATGAATGAACTGGTTATTGCAAATTCTAAAAGGAACTGAAACTTGTGTGTTTTCTGCCCTCTCTGGGATGTTTTTTTTTTTCTTATTCCATTAGGCTTTTCCTTTTTTTATTTTAATCCGTTCTGTTTTTGTTTGTTTTTTTCTTTTCATTTTAGATAAGCCACCTAATTCAAAGATCTATGAATTAAGTCCTATGTAAAACTTTTTGGTAAAAAGTGACTGTGTATTTTTCCACCTCCAATAAAAAAAAATGAAAGTTGCTTTTAGAACAGCTTATCCATTTTAGAATATAAGAATTTCTCGTGCAGAACCTAATCCAAAACTCGTTATTAATGTAAATGCAACTTTCTTTTTTTCTTTGACTTGTTGTTATGAGATGGAGTGTACATCAACAGGGGTCAATTTTATGAAACTTTTACAAGTGTCATTTACAAGTATTTTCTAACTTAAAACAATGGCTACACTTGTAAATTACACTTGTGAGTTTTAAAACATTGACCCCAGGTTTACTTTTTGTCTGATACGCAATTTTCCCTTTTAAAATTAGACTCTGTCTGCTTTCGAGTTAGGCTACTGGGACGACTAATTATTCCATTACTGGCATTTGGAAAAAAGGGTCACTTTAAAGGTGCTATGTCGCCAAGAGTAGCGCCAATCTACGCACATACGTTCCTGTGTACAGCTGAAATCTGGAAAACGTGAAAAATATGTTTAATTTACCGAAAGCATTTTCATCATTAAATAGGAATGATTAATAAATCTTTCGCATTTTATTGTTGCTGTTTTCCTCTTTTGTCCGTAAACACTGTACCCTACCAGAAGCCAATGCAATGGGATCCTGACCCTGCCGATAACACAAGTGATCTAAATTAAACAACTATCGCATTTTCCATCATTTATATATACTAAAAATGTCCCGCGGAAAACGCAGGAAATTAATGGCACTTCTAAGCCCCAAAATTTGAAAAAATGTCCGGGGGAGCATGCCCCCACTACCCCTAGTTTGCAGTACCTTCAGAGGCCCAACCTTTCCCGTGCGTTGACACCTTCAAAATCTCACGCAACGCCCCCGCTGACGCCATTTAACAAAGCTTACGCGTCTCTTCGCACGAATTAGCATAATTAATAGTCCAGTTTTAACACCATATTTAGGCTTTCCAACTGCTTCCCCCCGTACGTTGTAGCGGATGGCAAGGACGAGGACATAGATAAAATCTAAAAACCAATAGAAAAATTCTTTTCACTTTTAAATCTTACGCCTCCATAATCACGGAAAACTATTATGGAGGGAGCTAGCCGCTGAAAGATAACTTGGCTAAGGTGACTAGGGTCACTTTGGTGACTAGGGTGACTTGGGTGACTCGGGTGACTAGGGTGACTTAGGTGATTTGGTTGACAAGGGTGACCTTGGTAACTAGGGTTACTAGGATGACTTGGGTAACATCTAGGGTGACTTGGTGACTAGGATGCCTTAGGTGACATCTAGGGTGACTAGGCTGACTTGGGTTACAAGGCTGACTTGACTCTCTAGGGTGGCTAGGGTGACTTGGTTGTCTAGGGTGACTTGGGTGACTAGGATGACTTAGGTGACTTGGGTGACTTGGGCGACCACGATGACTTAGTTGACTAGGGTGACTAGGATGACTTAAGTTACTAGGGTGATTAGGGTGACTACGGCGACTTAGGTTACTAGGGTGACTTGGGTGACTAGGATGACTTGAGTGACTTGGATGACTTCATTGACTAGGATGACTTGGGTGACAAGGATGACTTGGGTGACAAGGGTGACTTGTGTGACTAGGGTGACTAGTGTGACTTGGGTGACTAGGGTGACTTGGGTTACTACAATGGCTTGGGTGACTTGGGTGACATCTGGGGCGACTATGGTGACTTGGGTGACTAGGGTGTCTTGGGTGACTAGGATGACTTAGGTGACTTGGGTGACTTGAATCACTAGGATGACTTGGGTGACTTAGGTGACGTCTAGGGTGACTTGGGTGACTAGGGTGACATGGGTTCCTAAGGTCACTAGGGTGACTTGGGTGACTAGGACGACTTACGTGACTTGGATGACATCTGGGGTGACTTGGGTGACTAGAGTGATTTGTGTGACTAGGGTGAAAAGGGTGACTAAAGTGACTTTGGTGACTGGGGTGACTTGGGTGACTATAATGACTTGGGCGATTTGGTTCACTATGGTTACAAGGGTGACTTGGGTCACTAGGGTGACTTGGGTAACTAGGACGACCTATGTGACTTGGGTTTACATGTAGGGTGACAAGAAAGACTTAGGTGACTTGGGTGACTTGAATCACTAGGATGACTTGGGTGACTTAGGTGACGTCTAGGGTGACTAGGGTGACTAGGGTGACATGGGTTCCTAAGGTCACTAGGGTGACTTGGGTGACTAGGACGACTTACGTGACTTGGATGACATCTGGGGTGACTTGGGTGACTAGAGTGATTTGTGTGACTAGGGTGAAAAGGGTGACTAAAGTGACTTTGGTGACTGGGGTGACTTGGGTGACTATAATGACTTGGGCGATTTGGTTCACTATGGTTACAAGGGTGACTTGGGTCACTAGGGTGACTTGGGTAACTAGGACGACCTATGTGACTTGGGTTTACATGTAGGGTGACAAGAAAGACTTAGGTGACTTGGGTGACTTGAATCACTAGGATGACTTGGGTGACTTAGGTGACGTCTAGGGTGACTTGGGTGACTAGGGTGACATGGGTTCCTAAGGTCACTAAGGTAACTTGGGTGACTAGGATGACTTACGTGACTTGGGTTACATCTGGGGTGACTTGGGTGACTAGAGTGATTTGTGTGACTAGGGTGAAAAGGGTGACTAAAGTGACTTGGGTGACTAGGATGACTTGGGTGACGTCTAGAGTGACTTGAGTGACTAGGGTGACTAGTGTGACTTGGGTGACTAGGGTGACAAAGGTGTCTTAAGTGACTAGAATGACTTAGTTGACTAGGGTGACCTGGGTGTCTAGGGTGACTAGCGTGACAAGGCTGACTAGGGTGACTTGAATTTGGTGACTTGAGTGACTTGGGTGACTAGTGTGACTAGGATGACTTGGGTGTCTAGAGTGACTAGGGTGACCTGGGTGACTAGGGTGACTAGGCTGACTTGGCTGTCTTGGGTGACTACGGTGACCAGGATGACTGGGGTGACTTGGGTGACTAGGGTCAGTTGGGTGACTAGGATGACTTGGGTGAGTACGGTGACTTGGATGACCAGGATGACTTGGGTAACTTCGGTGCGAAGCGTGACTTCGATGACTTAGGTGACTAGGGTGAGCTGGGTGACTTGGGTGACTAGGGTA